CTTGCTTACTCTTAAAGCTTATAAAACCCACATATATTTCTTTATTAATAACTTTAACCCTAAATTTGACTCCTAATTCACTTGAAGTTGCAAAATATTATTGCGAAAGCCTTGAATTTAAAAATTTTATGACATATATTCCCAGTGGACGGTGTTCCCGAGATTCTTTTGTAGCATTAAATAAATGCTATCTGGGTAATTATATACTTTATTAATTTTAATTGTGCGTTTATATTTTATTAACATATATTTATTTTGTGGTGTATATTTTTTAGGATATACATGTCCAGGTAAAACGAACATTCATGAAATATTTTTTAACGAAGAAAAAAATAAGGTTGTGATTGACGTAACACATCATGCACGTCGTGGCATTTTTTTCTGGGTTGAACAACCAATAAGGTAAATAACGTAACATGTTTACAAGTATCAAAAAAATCTACAAATGTTTCTAAAAAAAAAAAAAAAAAAAAAAAAAAATAAATGTATTTTTTTCTTTATTAGACTCATTATAAAATTGGATTTAACCTTTGGCAATGACGGGAAATATGTTATAAAACGACAAGAGAATTTGTGTCAGCCGGAGGAAACTGTTGGCGTTCTCGTACCTTTGATAGTGCCTAGTGTAATGCGTCTTCAAAAACAAATTTTTACTACGGCTTGTGTTGTCGCTGGAAAGTTCGTTGGAAAGGGGCGTGCGTTGGTTGGATGGCAATAAATCTTTTTTTTTTTTTTCTTTGATATATACTTTCGTAAATATTATGGTAAACAGCTCGTAATTATTGAAATTAATTTTATATAGCTTAAAAATGTATAATTTATTTTATTTTGATGTACTTGGAGTATTCTAGCAGAATAAATACAGTTTCCAATTTATTTAATATTAACACCTGGCATTTAGTAGATTAGTAACGTTCAAAGGTGTTGCATCGTTAAAATAGAAGTATAATATGCAGAAATTATCCATTGAGTACGTACGTAACGATTTTATTGATGTGCCAAACGCAAAAAAGTAAATACCTCGATCACTATATCAATATCACGGGTATTATTATTATTGCTAATTTACGACAATATGTTTAATTAGACTGTCAGCATAGCAAAGAGAAAATTTTTCTTATTATTATTACTTTTACCATCTCGTTATCATATACAATCTTTTTAAAAGCATTGTTTTAATAAGGCCCACCATATTCATCACAATAATTAATACAGGTTATCCCCGTTAATATCAACCTAAGCCACAAAACAAATTTTTATCAATTTTTATATATCAAAATTCCCTCATATATATCAACTTTAATATAATTTCTCATTAATATCACTATCAACATGATTTAAAACCAATTCAAATATATAGGTTGATATTAACGAGGGTAACCTATAAAGATTGCGGAGGAATATAACAACATCACGTTGAATGTAATAAATGTAATTAGATCATTATAATTAAACACAAAAAAAAAAACTAGTAAATTAGAATTGTCGACGGTTACAACGGTTAAAAACCATTTATTAGATTTATTTATTATAATGTAGAACTTGTACTGATGTCAGAACCTAAAATATATCGGTATGAATTTTTTATTTTCTAACATCATGTGTACTACAATTAGGCATTACGATTATATTTATCTGTTAGTAAATTTCTATTAGTAATCATATAAATTGACTTTATTTTTAGAAAGAGTTGATTCTGAACCAACTTTATCGATGTCTTGCAGGTATAAACAATTTACTATCATTTATATTTTTTAAAATTTATTGAATTAGTTTTAAGAATTTTTTAATCATATAGTGATAAAATTGCTCAATAGAATGTAGTAGGATTACAATCAGCCCTGTTATCTGAACTAATATCGCCTATTTATTTATCATCTATTACTGTAGCTGATATGTTTTATTTAAAGGATTTGAATAGAGCATTATATAAAAGAATAGAGGGTCTAAAAAGTATGTTTACTACAACTTTATGTATTTTGTGAATTGGATTAGTAAATTCACTTTATTTACTTTTTAAATTTCTTGTAGACCTTCCTCATGAATATTCGTTACATCGACCTATTATAATTCCTTCTTTAATAAAATTTGAAAGGTCAAGGTTATCTATCTGAATGTTTTCAAGATAAAGATTTGATTTTGTCCAATATAGGTATTTTTACTAAATTAATATCTATTTATTTATAATTTTATAATATAATTTTCTGTTTTCACATTTTACATTCTATATGATTAAATCAAATCAAGTGACGATTTGGACAAAAGGTTCTGAGTCAACAGAAGTACTTGTATCTGGAAGGAAGCAAGGAGCCACTAAATCCAAAAAAACTGGTCTTTATTTATCTAAAGCTAGGTAAATTTTAAGTTTTAATCCAGTATTTTTATATTTATTTATTTATTTATTTATTATATAGAAGTTCAGTAGCAAAGTTAAGTTTATTTCAAAACCTTGAAAATTTATTGAGTCAAACTCCTAGATAATTAATACCATCAAACTTGATATATGTCTTTTTTCATAAACTTAACCAAATTACTAAACTTACTAATTAAGGTTTTTTTATATTAAGTCAATTTACAGATTCAAATTTACAAAAAATATTTGCATATAATATATTAAAATCAAAAAGTAAAAGCTATCAAATTGCTAAACAAGTATTGAGATCACAAAAATTTCATGAATGGATAAACTGTCCAAGTGAGATTTATAAAAATTTTAATCTAAATGGTGAATTAATTTATTAAGCAATAAATAATATTAATTACAGATACTAAAGTTTGATTTAATATAAAAGAAATTAAAATAAAAAAATTTGCAACTATATATGAGTGCGTGAGAATAAAAACCTGGAACTGATTATAATGATTTACTATGATCAGTTACAGGTTTTCATTCTTACGCACTCATATTATACAAGTTAGCTTAATAAAAATAAAAATTTTAAAAGCATGTTGTACTAAAATTAATTTATAATTTAAATAAATATAATTAAGAGTTTGCAGAAAAGTAATTTTAATTAATTAATTTATAGAGCATTTCTATTTGTACATGGTGTGTATGTACACGGTTAATATAGAGAGCCAATCAGATTGCATGATCAGGTGTAATATAAAATTATTGCTTTCTCCAAAATATTACTGATATCTCAGAATTTCGCTTATGAAACCACCATTTAGATTCTAACAAAAAAAATTCCTTGCGAAATTTTGATATAGGTTATAACCCACCCAAATCCTAATACTCCCTTACCCTAACCCAAAGCAGGGACTTAATTTTTTGTTTATAAAAGTTGTTTTGATTGGCATATTACACAGATTTGCAAATTAATACCCGTGTTCAAACACACCATGTACAAATAGTAATTTTCTAATTTATAATTATTTTATTTTATTTTCTAAATTATTTAAATCAATAATCAAAAATAATAGTGAAATTAAATATAAAATTTATCAAATTTAAAATATTATAAAGCATCAAGAAATTTTGTTTTAAAAAATTATAATTTTAGAATATACAAAGATTTTTATAAAACAATTTTTTAAAATTTAAAAATAAATTAGAAAAAAGCTATATCTCTATATTGCAAGAGATTTTTTTACAATATTTATTAAAACTTTATAATAAGTAATAAAATATTTAAAAAAATATAAATATTTACACTTAACAAGTATTTAAATTTTGAAATATTTAAATATCAAATATTTATTAAGGATTTAATTAGACATCGCACCATGCAATGAGTTTATATTTTATACTCTAATGATCTACTAATCAAATTGTATACAGTACGGGACAGCTTAAGATATCCACTTTTTTTAAAAGTACCAAATTTATAATTATGTAATCAAATATGATTGGCTAATTTTGTGTACTGAATTTTGATTGGTTAAAAATATATATAACCATTTTTTTATATATTAAATGCCAAATTTTGGATTATATATAAACTTTAAACTATAAAAACTTTTAAATTTTATAATAAAAATAAAAATTTATTCTAACAGAATTGTAGCTTAGACTAAAAGCAACAAATTTGTAAACAGATTTTTTTTAAAGTTATTTGTTTTTGAGTTATAAGCCTTTATATTTTATATATAAAAAGTAAATATCTTAAGCTGTCCTGTACTGTATCTGTAGTATAACATGAAATCAGATATAATGCTAAATTTTTTAGTTTTTTAAGAAGTTAATAATATCTCAAAATTTTGCTTATAAAACAACTTTTAATATTCTAATAAAAAAATTTTTTGCAAAATTTTACTATATATTATGCTTTACTCTAACCTCTAATTATCAACCTTAATCTATATATAAAAATTAATTTGATGTAATATTATGTTTTACAGATTTGCAATTAACTTTGTTTATATTTAGATACAATATACAAGTGTATTGTATAACACTAGTTGAAATTAAAACATTCAGTAATAATTCAGTTATAATTCAGTTATAATTCAGTTATCATTCAGCTATCATTTAGATACTGATTACTGCTATTTGGCTGCCACTCAATAACAATTCAGTAACATGCTACTAAATTGTTACTTGTGGTAGCCGAATAGCAGGAATCAGTATCTGAATGATAGCTGAATGATAACTGAATTATAACTGAATTATAACTAAATTATTACTGAATATTTTGATTTTGACTAGTGTAATGCAATGTATATATTTATTTTTTATTTAATACAGTATATACAACCTAATCCTAGCAAATAAAATTGATGAAATTCAAATTGCTAATCCTTCTTCAAAAAAAATAGTAAACAAAAAATACTATCTTAAAATGTTAAATTAAAACAAGCTAAACACCTTCAAGTTCATAAAATTTTTTTAAATTTATTTATTAAAAAGTTATAGCAGGTTAAAGTTATAGCACTTTTATAATTAAATATAAAATTTGGCCACCTTTTATATATATGTAAAAAGGCAAATTTGGCCTCTTTAGACAATTAATTTAATTTAATATATTAAAAATTTAAAATTTGGCCACTTTATATATATTTAAAATTTTAAAATTTGGCCACTTTATTTATAAATATTAGCTAAATTTTCAAATTAGCCTCTTTATATATATAAAAAATAAAATCTGAATTTGGCTACTAAAAATTTTTATTTGCTGTGACTAGGTTGTACGTACTGTATTACTATTTAGTATACAAGCTTGCATAATAAAAATATTAATAATAATACAGATAAAGTATATGAAGTAAAATAATATTTTTAAAGACTTATCTATAATATTTTAAAAAATATATTACCAAAATTTTATAAAATAACAAAAATAAAATATTTATTGTTTTACAATTATAATAGTTTTATTAATAGTATTATCAGATATTCTATAGAATAGTTGGGCAATATGAGAAATAAGCTTTGCTAATGATTTGTAATTATTAATTTTTAATATCAAAGTTGCAGAGTTTGCAGAGTTTACCTATTCTATAGAATATCCATTTTATCAATTATTGTGACAGATCAAAATAAAATTAGATTAAAATAAAATTTTTTTAATTTTTAAGAAAATTTAAAATTTTTAAAATATATTTTTTGGTTTTTTTTTAGTATTAGGAGTCAAATTTAGGGTTAAAGTTATTAATAAAGAAATATATGTGGGTTTTATAAGCTTTAAGAGTAAGCAAG